GATGGTAAAGTTACTTTGTGAATCAGGGAGCTAAATAAACCAGAAGTATTCTGTTAGCTCAGTACATTTTGTCACATATGGCAGTAAGTTAGTAAAGAAAGAAAAGAAAAAGCAAAAATAAATAAAATAAAATGATTAGTGAGGGAAGAGTGGCATAAAAAAAGGCATACTACAAATTATTCATAACTGTGATTGGGAAACAACACTTGTTGGGAAAGTAAAATTAAAGCTCAGAAAAAAAATTACAGCTCAGAACAAAAATTACAAACTAGGGTGGAAAGTGAAAACTTAATTTATTATCATTAAAATGGACATTTTGTACTTAAATTATACCTCGATTTATTCTTCCTCTAGTTGAGCCACTTTTTGTACTTTTGAGGGCCTCAGTCGTATACATGTTACAGTCGTAGGGTTTTTGGCAAACTATAATACATACACTGAATAACGAGTGGGGATAGGGTGGTCGTGCTAGACGGGCATGTTTTTGTCTTTTTCTAGGCAAATCTGACCGAAATGCCGTTGACATGCCGATTTATACGGTTCAAGCCATTGCTTTACAAACCTGATAGTGCAGCGTCCTCGGATCACTGCTTCAGCCATTCAAAAACCGTCTCATTTTTAGCCTTAGTGCATAAGCTTTTCTATAAACAAAACTTAGTTGCCACGGAGCCGCGAGCGAAAAACAACAATTTCATATCGTGTGCAACTTCAGTTCGGCTTTGACAAATTATATAATTGAGCTTAAGAACTATCCAAAAGGTGAGCCGAGTTTCAAGGCTAAGTTTACTGTATTCTTTCTAAGTTTTGCCTCTTTACGCTGTCGATTTGACTCACGGCGAAAAACATTGTAAAAGTTATCGGCATTTTATGGTTTAGTTGAGGGGTCCGCTGACTAGTAAAATACTGTATCGTGCCCTAAAAAACGTATTTCCGCGGTGTCGTTTATACCTTTGTTGTCTCAAAAGATTTGGAGCGGTTGTTTTTCTAGCTTGCGGACTTAATCAACTGTTCGTTGCTAGACGTTCAAAGTAAGCACATGTTAGTATTGACAGTGAACACATTTCAAATAAAAAAAGAAGAAAAAGTGAAAACAAATACTTTACCTGCAACAACAAAGGAAGTGCAAAAGCACATGCTAAGAACACATGCCAAATGCAGCTGTCTTACACACAGTTCATTCCGCTTTCATGATTGGTCAATCCACTGAGCCAGCGAGTACTTGATTGGACAGTGTTCATTGCTCCCATGACAATCCTTTGTGTTGTACTTTAATTTTAATTTAATATTTCTTCAGAACTTGATTTTTGTGATCGTTAAACTGACGAGGAAATGTATGCGATTGTAAGAGCCCTGTCTATTTGGTATCTCGTTGTTTTTATGTGCATTTTGTGGTCTGAAGCAAACCTAGAAGTTGCCTTGAATGATCCTTGCGCTTCGAATCCTTGTTGGAATGCTGGAAGTTGTATGAGGAATGGCTCTTACTTCACTTGCAGTTGTCAAGTCGGATTTCGTGGTCCGGCTTGTGAATTTCGTTCCACTGATTGCCCAGTAAACCCATGTGTTAATGGTGTTTGTAGTCTTAAAAGTGGCAACCCAAAATGTTACTGTACTCCAGGATTTACTGGAAAGTTATGCGATATTGACGAAGATGAATGCGCTTCTCAACCTTGCAAGAATGATGCTCTCTGTGTTGACGAAGTCAACGGCTACAAATGCGTATGCGGAGACGACACATATGGCCGTCATTGTGAGATTCATCAAAGTGACATAATGGAGTGCACATCACGATGTGACGAAAAGCCTTGCTGGCGAAATCGTTCAACTGTTATACCGGTAATTTGGGGATATGGCGTCAGTATCTGTAGCACTGGTCATTCTTGTTTTGGTGGTGAGAATGATACGGATGCAGACGTGTATGATACTTTTGTTGAAGTACAGCTAAAGCCTTTGCAGATTCAAGTAGGAGATACTCTTAATTTTACTGCTAATGAGGAAATTTTGTCTTATGTCGATGGATTTGTACCACACCGCGTCGTTGCTACAGACAAGGCTAATGCATTCCTAACCTGTAACGAGAGCAATGGCATTCCACTTGTAAATAAATCCACTGATAGTGTTTCTGTGGGCTTAGACATACTGAAAATTGGAAAGCACTATTTTATCGCCAATATAGATTCTACTTTCCGCTGCGACTTTGGCTTGCGACTTAATGTTAGTGTGAAAGAAAACAATTGTAGCCCTCCGTCCACCAGCGAGGTGTGCTCCGGCCGAGGGCAATGCTCGACAAACTTTAGTCTATTCGACTTCCGCTGCAAATGTTGTGGTGGATTTCGAGGAAAATTTTGCGAAAAAATCGACAATTGTTTCTCGAAACCTTGCAAAAATAACGCCCTGTGTCAAAACGTTGAGAGCTCAACCGACGGAAACACGCATGTATGTATTTGCAAGGCAGGGTACAAAGGACGGGACTGTTCTGAAGTCATCGACAAGTGTCTGTCCTCCCCATGTCAAAATGGTGGTCGCTGTATCCCAGAGGTGAACAACTTCACCTGTCAGTGCCTACGGGGCTTCAGTGGCAGGAACTGTGAAGTTGACATTGATGATTGTGCTTCAAGTCCTTGTTTGAATGGTGGCAGATGTGAGGATGGAGTTGGTTCTTTCCAGTGCAAGTGCCCTGCTGGGTTTACAGGTACCCATCAAACATGTGTCCTACTAAGTTCGGGTTTTTATACTTAAGCAACTAGCAGTCTAAGGTTATTTGAATAACTCGACACCACAAAAGTATAGATAACTTGTTAGGACCTAATACCCTTGTCAACTTATTTCTAGTGCTTGCTTGCTTGATTGTTCTAACAGTTTTGTTTTTTGTATGTGTAGGTGAGTGTTGTGTTTTAATCTGAAACCTTTGGGTCTCTTTGTGGCTAGCACCTGCCAATCTTTTTAACCTCAATGATAATTCTTTATGATACATGAAAAACTCCATCTGCGTCAAGTCTACGTCAACCCAGTTCATATGTTGCACCTGTAGATAAGCCATTTTGAGGGGGGCATTGGGGTCTATTCGACACCACAAAAGTATATGATTAAAACTGAAAACTGCATGTAAAACCATCCAAACTGATACATTTTCACACCGTTGTATTCAAAACCTTTATCAAACTGACACAGTGGTAACAAGTGGAGCATACAGAGGTTTTTGCAGCTATTTAGGATTGGTGGAGGTGCATGATTGCCACTAAAAAAAAAAAGAAAACTGAAAACAACATTGTATACCAAAACCCAAAACCCCATTAGTATTTTTGATAACCAAAATACTAAATGCTGAAAAAATGTAAAATCTGCAAACTGCAATGAGCACCAAAATAAAAAACTTGAACTTTTTTGGCACAAAAACCACAATTCTGATCTAAAAAATAGCCACAACCACAAAACAGGAAACCCCAAGGCCCCCCTCCATTTTGTGCAATCCCCTTTAAGATTTTTCTGTACATAAAAATGCTTAGATTTAGCAAACAGTGTGTTTCTGTTCAGTCTGGGATGTTGGATCAGAAAAAGTCTCATTTTTTCTCATATATATTCCCTATGTTGTAAAAGCATGATTTTGTGCATGAGTGATCCTGTGGTACATCTGCACCAACTTGGATTTTGCCTTGCAGCTGAAGGAATCAAAGAAAGCTCAAGGCAAAAGAGAAATAGAGAAATGGCAACTGTGAAGTTACCTTTGTCCATTTTTATTATCTTAAAGCAAATGAACAAGTGTAAAACTGTATGCGCATATCTTGTTTGTCACCTCTCAGTTACAGTCCAAATATCAAAGAGTTTTTTCTCTGGATTGTCTTCTCTGAGTATTTGAGGTAGACACCTTTTGTCCTTTGCTGAATGTTTTCTTTGGCCAAGGAACAATTGCCACCTTTTGCCACATATGTGACATCATCTTTTGAATAATCCACAGGGATAAATTGATGGCTTGATGAGTACAGACACTTTTCACTGCAAAATTTTAACAGGCTTACTTCCTCTAATTTTTTCTTTCCTCACTCCTACAGTCTTTTTCAAGTGCAATCCTTTTACTTATCCCAATAACTGAAATCCTGTCACCGGCCAGGGTGATAGCTAAAGATGTTTTTTCTTGGGTTGATTTGTTAATAAAGTAAACTACTCTAATTACACAAGTCATGTAGTTTATTGCAGGCGAAGATTAACTAAGATTATGCACAAAAGAAAGATAAGTCACATGTCTCTATAAGAGCAATTGAAATTTTTCTATTGATTGACTCTCAGATTGTGAGTGACCTTTTTGTATAACTTTGAGGTTTGCATTACTTCTTGCTGTTTTAAGCGAACGGAGTGGAATGTGCTATTTTAGGGAACCACTGCAACAGAAATCTTGCAAGCAGACAACTTAGCCACTGTGTAGCAATTGTGGTCAACCACTGACACAAGTTCTTTATTTGCACATTCTCAATGGACGATATGCTATTAGGGATGGATAATGGATATTAACAAATCCAGCTCTGAAACACACAAACTGAACCTTTCTTTTTCATTGCTCTAAACAATGTTTCTTTCTGGGTTTAAATTTTTTTTCTGGATTATCCCTGTAGTGGTGCAGAAACTATGCAGCCATGTGCCCCAACAAAGTCAACAACACCTTGATAGTTAGGACTTGATATGTACTAAACATGAAATAGAGACTGAAGCTTACTGTTTAATTTGTTGGTTAAGTTTACTGTTCAAACTGAAGTTTTATTGTAATTTTTTCAATGGACTGGATAACAGAATAACTCACTGCAGATTAAGGACTGAGGTCGTTATAGTGGAGATAAATCTGACATCAGCTGGATTAAAGAAACAGCCAAAAAAAAATTAAATGGAAATTGCATGCAGTTTATGACATGTGAGAAATCTCTGTCTGGGACAGTGCAGGGTGGGTAAAGTGTTTTTTCATTTTCTTTTAGGTTCTCATTGTGAAGTTGATATAGATGAATGTTTACATTCTCCTTGTGTTCATGGTACATGTACTGATCAAGTAAATGGCTTTAAGTGCCATTGCTCACCTGGATATGCAGGGTTCAAATGTGATTACAACCTCAAGGAATGCCTTTCCAATCCTTGTCAGAATGGAGGAAGCTGTATTGATGAAGTGGGTGGCTATAGATGTGATTGTGGTTTGGGATACAGAGGGGATCATTGCCAGATTGATATAGACCTCTGTCAGGAGCCCATGATGTGCATCAATTCAATATCTTGTCAAGACAAAGGTCACAGTGTCAAGTGCTTCTGTAAAGCAGGTTTTACAGGTTACAACTGTGCAGTTAATATTAATGACTGCCTCTCTTATCCGTGTAAGAATGGTGGAATATGCAGAGACAAAGTAAATGATTTTGAATGTATCTGTCCTCATGGGTTTTCTGGAAAAACATGTAAAGGTAATTAAAAGTTTTTTAGTTTTTCTTTGTTACTATTATACAGGGCTCAAAATTAAAAGAAAGGTTCAGTTGCCATTTTGTGACTTGATACGTAAGTATAGTTGCAAGTTCATGAATTTTAGTCGCAAAAATCCAGCGGTTTGACAAACAAAAATATAAGCCTGCAATACACATGAATAAGTGACCACTGCAATGGCAGCCATTCAAGGTAATGGGTTGAGTGCACAACATTGCAGATAAATTAGGTACAATTTTACCCTATATCTTCAAATGTCTTTGATAATCAAGGCACACAACAATATATTTTTTAATTTCTTTATTTATTTCAGCAAAAATAGTGGCAAAGTAGCGACTACTGGCTTTTTTATTCTACTCACAAATTTGCAACTCCTCAGGAAGTTTTACAATGTAGTCACAAACATAAAAATCAAGTCGCAAATGCGACTGTATTGGTTGCAATTTCGAGCCCTGATGTATTATAAGTTGGAATATAAAAGTGTTGTCATTGTTTTGATGGGATTGGTATCTACACATTTACAGGGTCTACAGAAGCAACATCAGTCAAACATTTTGAACGACAGTTTTCCCTCAAGTTAATGACTGAAGATTGCAAACTTTTAAAGGTACTTCATAACAAACATTTATTATCAATATGACTAGGCAGTTATGGAACAACATCATAACCGATGCAGCTCATCCTCTTTATGACCTTCTTCCTCCACAAAGATCACATTTTTTAAGAAGCAGGGGCCATGATTTTATCTTGCCACATGTGAGAACCAAGAGGTTCAAGCGATGCTTTATTAATAGATGCTTCATTTAATTTTAAGTCTATTTTAACTGTATAGTAGTACATGTATTGAATAGAAGCATAGAATTTGACCAGTCCATCAAAAGGTTTTAAGGCTGGGATGCTATTCAAAATTAAATCATGAAATACCATAATTTTTACATTAAGCCAGCAGAAATCCAGACTGGGACTGGCAGTCATGTGGCAAGCTGTTACATGTCTGGTCAAATTAGTGGTGTTTATTGTCAAAAGTAAAAGTGAGATAGAAAAAAGAAGCTGCGATGGCCTTAACTTGAGTAACACAGCAACAAGTAACAGAGTAAGGCACTATGGTCTTGAAAGTAAATTATTTCATGCCTCTTTGGAAGCTTTGGAAGCTATCTCTTGAAGTGAGGCTGAACACTTAATGAAATAATTTGGATATATCAACAAAGTTGAAATGGTAAATTGGCCACCATAACAATTACAAAAGCTGACGTTTCGAGCGTTAGCCCTTCATTGGAGCGAATAGAGGAATTGTGTGTTGTGTGTGCTTTTAAAGGCAGAAAATGGAGCTACGTTATTGGTGGGAACGTGGCAAGGAGAAAAACACGAATAAATTAGTGGAATGAAAAGCGTTTGTTGATTCCTGTGGGATTTAGACGGCCAGTTTGAAAGATGAGCTTTTGTTCAAGAGTTTTCTGGCTTTCCGTGCTACCTAAGTGTAAGGAAAGACCACAGTTTGCCATGTGTTACTTAGAATGGTTAGGTAAATTAAAATGTCTAGCGACTGGTTTTGATGTGTCCTTGTGTCCTTGAAGGTGTTCTGGGAATGTTGTGAATGAAAGGACATGTTTTGCATCGTGCACGAGCGCATTTAAAAGTGCCTGGTTGGTCATTAGTCTGAAAAGAACTTCTGACCAAAATATTGAATTGTCCTTTCATTCACAACACTGATAAAATATCGGGACCTAAACAATCCATTAAGATCACCGATCACTTCACGTGCACCTCCGCTAATGTAATCTATTGCATAACTTGCACTTATTGCAAAAAGATATACATCGGCGAAACAGGCAGAAGACTAGGTGACCGATTCCGAGAACACCTTCAAGACGTGGAAAGGAATGACACTATTAGTGGTCAGCATTTTGAGTTTTTCAGTGTTGACATAACTTGACATGTGGTCACCCAAAGGCATGAATTTTTGGGAAAACTTTGGGATTAAGAAAAGCCTACTTCATTTTTATGGGAATGTGCCTTCTTTGAACGATTAATGGGGTATGTAAACTTTACTGATTGTCTTGAAATTTGGTCTGACGACTCTCAAGATACTATTTGGGGGAATTCTGTTTTTCAAAATGGATCTCCTGCAATGGCCTCCAATGTGATGTGTATTGATAAAATTTTGATTAGCAGACTTGACAGATAGGTTGCAAAGCAACCAATAAGAATATTGAAAAATCCCCACATAGTTTTGAAGCCCAACCCCTTTAGGATTGAAATTGTGCAGATATCTTATTTGTGCAGTCAGATTTGATATGCGCTTAATTCGTTCAGTTAACATCAACCATTTTGGATTGTCCCTCCCCATTTGGTTTACAATTAGACCAGTGGTTACCAACAATGGTTACCCATGCATCTTTTAATTTTGCCTGTTAAAGATAAATAATTTTTATCTTATTGCAATTCCATTCTTAGTTAGAGACTTTTGATTCAGGATATTCGGTCATTGTGCATTTTAAGATATTCTTCTATTCTGCTTCTATTCTTCCACTCCATCATTCTGTTGAATAATGCAAGGAATCATATTTTGCAGCTTGCTTGCTTCACAAAGTTAGCAGCTCTTTTTGGCATAGGTCGCTGACTCCAACTGTAAAATGCTCTCTTTTGAAAAGAAAAAATTTGCTAAAAGCTTACATGATGTGCAGATCATGTCTATTGAGGTATATCTGCAAGGAAAAGTTTTGAGTTCAATTATGCATTGGTGGATGCCACTGTGAAATAATTTTGAGATGTTTATTGTCTTTTGTAGTGTTATGTATGGGAAGAACTGAAAAGAGTATATCTTCAGATCTACACGATTTGCAGATTTAAACAGTACACACTCTCTCTCTTTAAAGAAGAAAAATTTCCCCAAGTTTTATTATACCTCAATTACACCTACTAAGATATTTCTGCAAGGTAAACATCTGCCTTGAATTACTCATGATCATGAAAGGATTGTTAGATGGTTATCTCTTCCTACTTTTTTCTGCGGTGTTGCGTCAAGAACTGAAGACATAATGTGCAATTGTGAATTTTGAGCAACTAAGATTAAGTTCAGAATTCTATTTTTACACTCAGTCACTCATCTCGACAACACGTGGCTTTGCCTCCTATAGAAAGCAGTTGCCACAAAAAGTGTGGTTGATGGTTTTGACTTTTTTGCAAGGGATGTAGCAGGGTCTGTGACAGCTTATAAGAATTGATTGCTCTGAAGTACATTGTATTTGTTAGCTTTCATAGACAGCAAATTGCTTCAATCTGTTCTCTGAACAGATGGAAACTCAGCCATTTTAATAGGGACCTTAAGAAACCGCGACGGCAATGAGGACGTGGAAAAACAAGAGATCTAATTGGCAGAACAATAGCTCAGCATGTGCATTTTTAAACTTTGTACATTTCTTAGCCGTCCTATGCAAAACAACAACGTGAAATCACCAAAATTTGCATCGTCTGTGAACCAAAACCACGACGGCAAATTATTTTAATTTCCATTTGGACTCAACGGCTACTTTATACGTCATGCTGAAGTTGAGCTGTGGCGCTGTATGAAACAGTAAGCTCCTGCAGCCATTTTTGAAATTCTAACTAAGAGTAGAAATTCATTTTTAATCGAAGTCTTCCTTGGCATCGCCGTCATGGTTTCTTAAGGTCCCTAATGTTTACAACTTTCAAACCCCTTAGCACTATCATCCTTGTCATCCATTATGGCATGCGAGGCCTCCAACAAATCATTATTACCAGTATAATCATCCTTTTGATTAAGTATTTGGTGGGAACATGCGGATTCCTCTGTAATTTAGAATAACTGTATTTTTATTTAGTACTGAATGGGGTCACTTCAACTGATAGCTTTTACTCATTATTTAGTGCATTGAGTAAAAAATTGTTTAAGTTCCCCTCTCAGTCTAACTTGTGTAACTGAAGAGTTGAAATTTTCAAAACCTTGTTTGTTTGTCATATATCATAATGCTTAAAGTATATAGAGTTGTTACCTTTAGTTAATATTTGCAATTTATTGTTTGTTTATTACTCTCTAGGACTCCCAGGATATGATACACATAAACCAGGGTATAGCTTCCAACATGGCAAAATCCTGCAGTTGCAGTTTTGATGAAGGGAACATAGTAAATGAGTCTGTAATTCTCCAGTGTAGAGACAGTATCAGTGCTGAAGTTAGCATGGAGATAAAGCCAGTTAAAGAAAAATCAGTTAGTGAACTGATTTGCCAGTTTTACATTCTTCTTAACCAGAGCAAGAATGTTATAGACTTGGGTAAGTTTGCTAATGTGACACCAGTAGTTCTTGAGTGGTACTGTGGTACTGTACCAACCACATGAAAGCAAGTTCAATTACTTTCCACCGGTGAATGGCTGTAATTGTAATGATAGTGGTGATGAATAAATGTTAACTTCTTTGTTTATTTTTTAGAGTCATTATTAATTGTAGAAGCTGTCAATTGAAGATCATGATCCTTGATTGATAGCTTGACCTCACAATCAATATTCATTAGTATCTTTAAATTTGAAGACAAAGGATTTTATCTCCATGAAACAAAATATTATATTCTCTTTTATGTGTTATTTACCATGATGAGTAACCACAACCTATTTTACATTTATTTATGATTTTACTTTCATACATCATTTTAACCACAATGAACAACACATCTTTAACTAAAACATTCAACTTTGTTGAAAATGTGACAAAATGGTTCACTCATAGGATGAAAACATGCTTTTTTGTACTTTTTGGAAACTTATACTGTTATTTTTATAGGCTACAACTCATATGCAGTGAGGGTTCTTAGTGATGTGTCAGCATGTGGTGCCATCAATGTCACTGACAAGGGCACAGTTCAGGACAGCAATACTCAAGAAGATGAAGACACAAGTAGTTCAGGCGACATTGCTGTTACTGTATCATCTACATGTGCTGCCCTTGGCCTTATTGCAGCTGCTGTTGTAGTTTGCTTAAAGTGCCGAAGAGCAATTCCTCCTTCAGGCAAAAAATCTTCCTCTAAGTAAGTGTACAGTAGTCTCTTATTGGTTTGTTATTTATACATAGATGTTCATATAATATATTATCTTGAGTTGCAGAGTGCTCTAAACCGGTGGAGCTATATAATTCATTGAATGATAAGGGAAAATTATAACATAGCCCTACAGATATATATAAATGTATCATTTTGATTATTATTATTATTATTATTATCATTATTATTATTTAGAGATGAAACTCTACACAGATCTTAGCTCTTTCTTACAAACACTTCCACACAAAGCTTAACAAATTGGGATTTAAAAGATGCAGTAAAGAAATTCTGTTATTTTGGCTCAGTAACTACTGAAGGCGTTTTGCCACTTCCATCTCCTTTCATTTTCAGAAAGTGAAAAATTACGAACAAATTGTTCGAGAATGAAAGGGGGCAGTTGAGAATGCTGTTTTACCAGGCTGCATGTGAACAGTTAACAGTCAATTGGTTGTTGTTTTGGTAAAATTTGATTTATCTTAGTAAATACAGATTTTAGTACAGTGGCCAATGAGAGTGACTCTTAATTATTTATGCTGTTCAGTAAATTATTTCTTCAATGAATGTTTAATTAGTAATGTACTTGGCTTCACTAGAGAAAGTTGCATTAACTGTAATATCAATTAAGTTTTTGTAGATCTGAGAAGTTAAGCATATGTACACAATATATACTCGATATGTAACTGTGAATTTGGCTGCAATAATTTGGCGGATTTGTTTTTTTTCTTTTTACAGAGGTGAGAATCAGCTGATAGAAGACCTGAGTGCTGATCTACTTACTGCTGTTGCCCCTACTCCCAAGTCCATGTATCGCACTAGTGGTGGTTATCATAACATGGCTTACTCTGGACGATTTAATCCTGAAAACCCAGTTAAATCCCGCAGAGTGTGAAGTGACCTTGGAATGTTTGCTTCATATCTGATAGTTTTATGGCTGGTGTATGAACATTTACCATGTAAATAGTGATATGAAAATCGCTCAGTACCTTTTTGTAGATACTAGCAAAGAAAAAGAGTTTTTTTATAAATTTTGGATGCAAGAAATACACAAAGGTTTGTCTTTACACCATTTCCTTTGAAGAATACAGGAACTATTATTTATGTCATCAGTGTGAGAGTTCTTCCTTGGTAGGTGGAGTTATTGTGATTTTATTGTAGTAAAGGCTGACAAGTGGAGTGTATTGGAATTTTGAAAAGGATGAGATAACACATTTTCCATCATTTGTTATCTTTGAATTGTTTTGATTGGATTCAATAGATGCTTTGATCAGCTGAACACTGGAAAAGTGTCTTATTGGTAGACATATGTGATATCTAGTGAACAAGCACTACATGTATATGGTGTCAAGGGGGGACGTATATTGTAAACAGGAAGGAATGAGTTTCCCGTAAGAAAGCTTACTTTACTCCAAATCCAGAGAAACATACTGAACAGAAAAATCCCCAAGTATTTCCTATCAACTACAACTCAAACATGACTGTTTTGTATTATGAAACTTCTAAATGGCAATTAACAAAAATTCAATGCTTTTAGTTGTCCATTTGCGTGAACACGCGGGTCTGAACTTTGTGTTAGAAGAACTCTAGGTGGTGACTTTTAACCTTACTCTCCTGTCTATTCTCAGTGATTAATTTTATTTTCTTTGACTTTTATTTTCTTAGTGAAAACCTAAGTTTTAAGTAACTTTTGCGGACTGAGAAAAGCTAATTCATTTATAGGTGCAGCTCAGATACGTTCCTTATTTGAATACTTCATCTTGGTTTTGTAAGAGAGGTAGTCAGGAAAACACAAAACCAATCGTTTGTATCACTTGTCAACCTTTGTTTATAGTTTGCATGATTTTATTATGAATGTTAATAATTTTTTGGTTTTTACATGGACATGCATTTTGTACTCTTAATTAAAACAAAAAAAAACGGCACAACTGCATGTTTGTTTAATTGAGATCCCTGTTCAAACTGTAAGAATATTAAGTGCTTATCTGGAAATCGACCTTGTTATAACTAGAACAATTCTGAAAATAATCTCAATGGAGGTCTGCAAATTATCCGTTTACAAATTTGGAATGGTAAGGATGATGGGCGAATAGTGAAATATGTGGCTCCATAGTAACAAATGTACGCGGTTCCCGTTGGTGATGCAATTTTTACATGGCATTAGCATCAAAGGATAAAAAATCAAGCTACTAATGAGCCTTGTAAGTATCTGGGTAAGTTAATGAAGGAAGGAAACTGAAACTTAACAGTGATTAATTTTATTTTCTTTGACTTTTATTTGACTTTTACCAGTGTTAACTGGTCTTTTTGGTATCCGCTAGAAACCAAAGGCGCACCAACATAAGCCCAGTTTTACGCAGTGATAAAAAAAGGGTGAAGACAAAGATGAAAAACAGAAAACGTTGCAGATAGTTTTCAAAACGGATAAAAGTTCCAATTTATGGGCAAAGTTCTTTTTGCTTTTGACAAAGTAGAAGAACATTTGACAAACAGACAAGAACAGTGACCAGCGATATTCTATAACTAACTTCCGAGTCTAAGCTTCTTCAACTACAGGTTTATGTCCTTTAATTGTCCTTTCTTCCAGCAAGCAACGCTTTCAAGGAGACGGCTACTCTTTTCATTAGTCCATTATGATCCGATTCCATGGCTGAGTTTGGTTCATAAGACAATTTTCAAACAGTTTCTCTCAAATTAAGCAACATAAAGTACGACAATTATCTCAGTTCAACTTTGGTCGTTCACTGGTTATGATTGAGTGAAAACTGATGCGTTTATTTTAACCAGTTAGACCGTTTTATGTGTTGAGACCATTTCCACCAGTCGTGATATGGTACTGTAGTTCAGCTCATTGCGGACACATGGAGAGCGTTAACGATGCTAAACGACTAATTATCAGTTTACAGTAGCTTTGTACATGTTATTTCTTTATTCTTGATGAATTGCATTTTTGAACACACTTTTACCAAAGGGAAAGGTATTTTGCGTTTTTATGAGCAAAAAATCGGGACTTTTACAGTGACACGAACTCAACCGGGGCCACCCAACGTTTTTTGGCCAATTACAAGACGAGTTTAAAACAAAAAAATTGAAGTTCGTTCATCAACGGTCAAATTAGACTGCTCGTTTGACTGGAGTCGATGTGAAGACATGCGAAAGCTTCTAGTTTTTTTACGGTGAAATAAATATGTTGTTTATTTCGTTTACGGTATAAGCGAATAAATATTTACCTAATAGCGGCCGGTAATTTTGAAGACTGAACAGCCTCAACGTACGTAAGTAAAGAATAATGCTGGGTAAACCAATGACATTTATTTTTCGAAACACGGTCTGGAATGTCGGAGACAAGAACTTGTATAATTTACCGAGTATTGCTGCCGGGAATTTTGAAGATTGAACGAACTCAACGTAAATTTACCAAATTACGGCTGAGTAAACTTTTATAATAAAAATTTTTCGAAATAGGGTATGAAGTTTTGAAGAAGAAAGCTTGTATAACTTACCGAATTTTGGGGCCGGGAAGTTTGAAGACTGAAAGGACTCAGACTTAAAGAAATTTACTAAATTACGAACGAGTTAACTTACAAAATATATATTTCGAAACACGGTCTGGAACGTCGAAGAAGAAAGCTTACATAATTTACGGAATAATGCGGCTGGGACTATTGAAGACCAAACGGACCCAATACAATAGAAAGTCGCAGCTAAGTCGCAAGAAAGTAGCAAGAAAGTCGCAGCTAAGTCGCAGCTAAGTCGCAAGAAACTAGCAAGTCGCAGATAAGTCGCGAGAAAGTAGCAAGAAAGTCGCAGCTAAGTCGCAAGAAAGTAGCAAGAAATTCGCAGCTAAGTCGCAAGAAAGTAGCAAGAAAGTCGCAGCTAAGTCGCAAGAAAGTAGCAAGAAAGTCGCAGCTAAGTCGCAAGAAAGTAGCAAGAAAGTCGCAGCTAAGTCGCAAGAAAGTAGCAAGAAAGTCGCAGCTAAGTCGCAAGAAAGTAGCAAGAAAGTCGCAGCTAAGTCGCAAGAAAGTAGCAAGAAAGTCGCAGCTAAGTCGCAAGAAAGTAGCAAGAAAGTCGCAGCTAAGTCGCAAGAAAGTAGCAAGGAAGTCGCAGCTAAGTCGCAAGAAAGTAGCAGCTAAGTCGCAAGTAAAAAAAAAGAGAGAGGAAAGTGTATGTCCCTTTGAAGCCACCGTAAAAATGATAGTTCTTCATTCTCTACCGCGGAAACTGCCTGACACGAGAGTGTACCTTGGGTAATCGATCCACTTCTTAGGGTAAACTTCGCTGTATTTGTATGCGCTTTTAATTTCGCGATATACTTCTATTTCTTGAAAAATATTATGCAATTCAGCCCCTTGGCTGCGATGTAATATCTGTTTTAAAACTATTAAACTCTTAGCATTTATATAATGCAAGTTTCATATGATTTCATTCATATCGGCAGAAATCATTTATATCTCCTTTTTCGTTGTTTTTCTCTTTTTCTGCCTCATTTAAGAACTCTAGCCCAAGGGAAAAGGTCGAAAAAGCCGTAGGCCGAGTCTCTGTTTGTATCCATTATTGTCGCATTATTGTCCATTATTGTCGCATTATTGTCCATTATTTGGCCGCTCGCGCGAAAAAAAAATTCTGGCGAAGCGATTTGCTCACGCTATCAGCGTGCACTATCGGGATTTTGAGTACGCTTACATATACTGAATTTGATTGCGTGGCTCTGCTAGCTATGTTCTAATTATAGGGGTGGCGAAGGGTCCTTCAAAAACTCTGGGTCTCGCAAAATTTTAGTCGAATTTCGTAGGTCTCGCAGTCTCGTTTTTTCAGCGGTAATGAGCGTCTAGCAGTCTCGTTTTTCACACGAAGGTGTCTCGGAGCTCTCGATTTTTTGCAAGGCTAAGGGTCTCGAAGTCCCGAATCGTTTGTTCGTTTTTTTAAAATGAACAAACGATTGATATTGAATTTCGTTAAAAACAACTTTCAATTTTCGAGAAAAAGTCAATCGTAACTTCTCCTAAATTCTTACCGCAACGTTATTTTGGCACCGGAGAAAAACAGTTATTTTGTTCTAGGATATCATAGCGTAGTGTTTATAATAATAATAATAATAATAATAATAATAATAATAATAATAATGTGTTATAGTCAAATTTCCAGTTCCAGCTAGGACACACAAGCATGCTAAAATGAAGAATCATGAAACCCACTCACTGACCCACGATAGCTTAGGGGCCGACCATTTAACCTTTGAGGGTAGGGGGGTGGGTGATTTTGAAAAAGAATTTCCTGCAAGCGCTTGTTGGAAGAAAAAAACTGCATGCAGCCCAAATGTAACAGAAAAAAATTCTTGCGTTGCTGTGAGAAAGAAAAAAAAATGTTGCAAAGCTGTTTCATCATTCCCGGGGGCTTTATAAGTCGCAGCAAAACTGCAACCATTGCTCCTTTTGATAATGCTGAAAAATTATTGCTTCATACATGCAATGCATTATTAGCTATCTTTAGCAGTATTATAATAGAGGTAAAATTTTTTTATCGATGAATGAAGTTGTAATAGACAAAGGAAGTTATTATTTTTTTTTTTTCATTTTTAACAGAAACATTTTTATGTAATTATTTTCTATTTGGGAAATGGGTCCATTATGATGGACTTAGAGAGAAGCAGTGCCCAGGAAGTGGCCTGTCTGTACAGCACATACTACAACTTGGAAGACCATCACATTGCTTTTATGTTCAACTTTGAGGTACTCAATGTAGAAATGGAATGAAAAAGGCTGAGCAAAAGGTATTGGAGCTATCGTAATCAACTAACTTCAATTTTGCTTTTACATTTGTTTTGGATATTTTAGTCCACTTTTATATTGCAATTAGTGATTCCAGCAGCATTTACCACGCTATAAGCATTTCTAAACTGCTTTCTGCTATTTTTGGCTTTTTTTTTTGTCAATTAAGAAACTAAACGATTTCACATCTACCTGTGGTGCATCACCTTATTTGACGTAATATAAAATGATTGTAAAGAATGACTTTCCGAAAACATAGCTGAATTAGAACTATTGCTGCAATGACCACAATGTAAATGTAAATACATTTTGTATATGTCGACACATGACCCTTCTTTTTGAGGAAAAAAAAATCCTGCAGAGAAATATAGAGGGAAAAAAATATCCTGCAGAGCATTTAGAACAGAAAAACATATCCTGCCCAGCAGATTGCTAGAAAAAAAAATTCTTAATACCCAGAAATCACCCACCCTCCCCCTATCAAAAGTTAAATGGTCGGCCCCTTATGATGAAACCTACGAAGTCGGAGAACTTCTCTTGCCCCCTGTGGAACTGTGTAAAAGCACAAGCATTCCCAGTGAAACAAACAAGTTACTATACTACTCACCTTACAGTGCCTCATACATCGACAATTGAATGAGATATTTCCATGACTCATCACGTAATTTGTTCGATGGTCATCTGTAACCCTTCTCATAAGTTTTAATAAAGTTCTCCGTTCTCAATTCGGCGAGTTCTGAGACTGAATGTTAACGTCTTTTAACCAAACAGCCATAGTGCTAACACGGCCGCGCGTTCTTTCTGACGACTTCCAGACAACTTGAGTTGTAAGTGACAGCCCGTAAGTAAAAAAAATCAAAAGGAAACGACCAAGCGCAACCTCCTGACCGGAAATTAGGTCATGGCCAGGAAAAAAATTGAATTTATTGTCTATTGACAGATTTTCAGATCTCATGTTTCGTACAAGGGTCTACAACAAAAGGATCCTTTGTGAGACTTTTGTACAAACTCATTCTAGCTCATTCTCATAGCTCTCAACCAAATCTGGGGCTCGCAATTTAAGAGTCTGAACGTCTCGCGCTCGCACTCAAAACCCTTTGAAGTCTCGGTCTCGCAATCTAAAAAGTCAAAATGTCTCGGGCTCGCAAAGAAAAACGC